GTCGTTGACTCCTGGAAACTCATCAAGCTATTTCTGGCGGGACTTCGAGGACGTCTTGCCAATCAAACCACTTACATGCGCTATGTGAGCTCCTTTCAATGTCTTATCCACAGCCTTGGGGGCATGGGTTGCGAACCCGTCAAACCAATAAGGCAAGGACCACCAAAATGAACAAACCATGGACAACTCAAAGTATAGGAGGCGAATAAACAGGACGGAAAACGTGAACAAGGCAAGAACGAGCATACAGTAGGGGGAAACTGCACAGGACAACAGCAGCAACAACAACAACAACAACAACAACAACAGCAACAACAGCAGCAACAACAGCAACAACAACAACAACAGCAACAACAACAACAACAACAACTCAGCAATCAACAAACAACACAGAGGAAATACAGACCGGACCCCTCCTCCAAGCAAACAGTAATAAATAAGTGGAAACATGTACCGAATACATCACCGAAGAATGCAAACCTAGGACATAGAATAATTCTAATACGGATCTAATAGATCCAACAACCCTCAGAATGCAACACATCCGAAACATGATCACAGCAGGACAAACTAGGCCGGACTCCGGGAATTAAAACAACAACACCAACGTCAACACTCATCTCCCAGGGAAACATATATCATTTACCGGATCAAGAAATTGGAGTAAACTCGGCCGGACCACCAAAGTCAAACCCATGAAAACAACCCGGGGGGAGAGACAGCGCGCCCCCCGACAAGATCATCATTATAGAAAACAGTGGAAGCACAAACCCCAGGTCCGAAGTCCACCCGAGTCCACCCCTGCCCTGTCAACTTTTTGCGATTCTATGTCTCGGTATTGTAAGACGTTACGATTTCTCAAAGCAGGGGCTGGGGTCCGATGCCGGTGGCTTAGGGTATCTGGGGCTCCGATCCTTTTCGGCCGTGGTCCTCGGTGAGGGAAGCATTGATGCCAAAATCGCCGAAGCTGTCAGGGCCCTCCGTGCCGGAGCCCCCGATACCTGCCCGGGACCACGGCACGGACTTAGGAGCTTCGGGTTTTCATGGGTTCGATTCAGTCATTTTTTGTTTGAGACAGGTTTTTGGATCTCGGAAATCTTCACCGCCTGACCCGGAAAACCTGCACGAAGTGGTGCAGAACTGTACCCGACGAACTCAAACCCAATACCGTGGAAATCCCAAAATGCCCAAAGCGCTGCAGCCAAGAAACACGAGTCAAATCCTTGATCTCTGACTTGTGGAGTCCCGCAGCAAAAGCACCTCCAAACCAACTATTTCTTTGCAGCAGACTTCTTGAGCCCGCTGGTTAGGGGTACAGGGTCTAGTGGTTTACCATCAAGGCTCCTTTCGGCGAGCTTTGCTCGACCGCAGAGGACCGCAGATCCAGAGCCTTACTCCGGCAAGCCCACATCCTAAATCATGAAGGTTTTTGGCAGTTTCAAGCGCTGCGTGCCAGCCATGGCCGCACCCGAACACATCCGATTCCGACGCCGACACCTCGTAGTTTAAAGTGGACATGTAAGCAAGAAAAGAAGAGCCGACTCAGGCCGACCCCCCGATAGCACCGCCTCCACCGGAGCCGAGTGTGGCTGGGGCCCCGGCCCTGACTTCTCAGAGGCTTTCCGTGGAAAGGACGGGTCGAGGGTCGAGAGCTCTGAGAGGGAATGAGAGGGAGAGGGGTTGATCCGGTCAGGCCCCAGGGAGGGATCTTCTTCAGGACCAGGATCTCAAGGCAGCTGGCAAGCCCTGCCGCAGAAAGCATCAAACCTCTGACCGTCGTGCAATGCAAATGATTGTAAGGCCATCATGGTATGTAAACTCCGACATCACTACCCTTGACATGGTCGTCAGCAATCCGAAACGCTGAACAGGAAAACCCACATTAGCTCAGACCCCGAAGACTTCCCAAAAGAAAGGGTTAACAGGTCTGCTGTTTGGCCTTTAGGTTCCAGTGGCTCCGGTCAGAATCCTCGAGGCTGCATCAGAGTCGCCGGGCTCAGCACAGCTCGCCGGCCCCTAAGCAAAGGTGATACGTTGACTTGCGGGTGCAAAGTTGAATGGGTTTGGGGCTGATAGATGCTGATGTGTTTCTTAAGTTAGAGCGTTTGCCTGCACCCTCCATCTCCTGTGTCCGGAGAAGCTCAGCTCACATGATGGAATCGCAGAGCTCGCTGCCATAGAACCCGAGCGCCTTTCCGTGCACCAGAGGCGAGTTTCCGTGAGGCGGTGCTATCGCATTTGCGGGACAGCGCTCGCCCCAGATGGTGATGGTGATGACCATGATGTTCAGACAAGCTGAGATGGAGGTTTGAGAGTCAGGTTGGCGAGGAATCCCGCTACCGATTGAATCGTGATGGATGTCAGTAAACATCTGCGAGAGTGAATCCCAAGCTCTCGAATTCACTTGATTGCGGTTGTTCTTGTCTGGCCGAGCTGTATATCCATGGCCCATCACCCGACTCCTTGTTTCTGCCATCGCATCAAGTTCTCCCGAGCTGGCTCTCTGGGAGCCCCAAGCGATGCATCTCGCGAAGCGCCGAGGTGAAGAGCAGGCCCTTCCTTTGACCATGCTGGGCAACATCGAGGAGGCTGAAGTCTGACGATCTTGTACCAAGAGTATGTGGGAGCTAAAAGACGCTTTCAGGTTCGGGGTTTGTCGGCCTGGGGTTTTGAGGAATCGGACTTCTGCGCTGTGGGGACCACTGTTCGGGTTGTTCGGCAGTTGCCACGTTCAACCCCAGGCCGTAAATTCATTTCAGAGCCCCTATACCGTAAACTAAACCTAGGTTCACTTCGACGCACCAGTTCCACATTGTCCTGCGCATAGAGCCTTCGGTCCCGCAAAGGTGCAGACCCTGCGCAAGGGCCTGGGAAACCTTCGCAAAGCCCTTCAGAAGCCGGAGCCCGAGATCTCGTGGTTCTCGGGTTCAAGGACGCTGATTTAAGGTATTTAGACTCTCTTCTTTTTCATGGGTTTGGGGGTTGGAGCTTTGCATACCCTCCCGCCAGATCCAGAGTCTAAGGGCAAGGCCGTCCCCAAGAGCGAGGGCGGACCTCCTGCCGGAAAGAACCCCACTGCGCCGTGATGAATCTTCGGCTTGCGGGATGATGAAGCGTGGAGCCATGTGGAAGTTGTTTCCAAAACTTCAGAAGCCCTCAATTGGACACTGTTCGTTCAACCAGCACACCTGGGCACTTTTAGAAGGATCACAAGGGACTTTCAATGCTACCGGCCGTTGCCAGAGCAAGGCAGTGGTCATCGCACACCTGTTGGGCCTCCTAATCCTCGAACCGACGGCAATCCTGCAGCAAAGCCTTACAGAGAAATTCTTGCGAAGTCGTATCTAAAGCCATCGCATCGCGGAAGACCGTGCTACGAGTAGCTCAGATACAGATTCCAACGTCCCGTCAGGTTGGTAGACGACGTCGAGCTCTTAGAGGTCCGACTCGGGAAAGAAGGCATCTCAGGGATTTTCTTCGGACTTGGGCTTCGCTCAGGGCTGTTTGTGGGATTTTTCTGCAACGTCTGATCTCCCCAGATCCAGAAACCCCGAAGCCCCATCGCGAAGGAGGGCGCTCCTCCCGAGCTGGTCGTGAGGTGGGAAGTCTGGAGGTGTAGCGAGTCGATTGAATGTTGGGGCTCGCGACATATGATGGCACTCCCTATCCGCACAAGTCAGCCGAAGGCTGCGCCCAGTGCAGACGCCGGAGCTTCCGCCGCCTCCACCTCCACCGCCTGCACCACAAGGCGAATTTTTGTTGCGACCTCTTGGAGTTGTGAGAGTGTTCGGGCTTTCTTGGGAGGGGTTGAGGGAGCAGCATGCAAGTCGAGAAGGGTTGCTCGGGGGGATGTGCTGATGAAGAGAAGTGAGACAAGCGTAGGTTCGCCTCACCACTGCAACTATCCACGGAAACCCTAACTTCTGCAGTCTGCCCAGATCGAAAACCTCAAATACCCCGCGCCTTCAAAAGTGAAGGGTATCGCTCAGAAAGCTGAGACAGGAAACTGAAACCTTTTGCGTGCTGTGTCAGGTGATCAGCTGAGCCTGTCGCGTCTGGGCCCTGAGCCGTTCAGTGTGAAGCCGTGTAGAACATTAGCGGTCTATCCGGGCTTGCAGTTCAGTGATGCAGCAGATTTCGGGTGGGCGGTTCACACTTCCTCGTAGTTCTTTCAGTTCAGTTTCTTCTATTGCTTCTGTTGTGGCTGAAGCCACTGCCTGCTCCTCCTCCTCCTGCCACCGCTACTGCCACTGCTGCTGCTACAGCAACTGCTGCTGCTGCTGCTACTGCTACTGCGACTGCGACTGCGACTCCTACTCCTACTACTACTACTACTACTACTACGACTACTACGACGACTACTACTACTACTACTACTACTACTCTGCTGCTGCTGCTGCTACTACTACTGCTGCTACTACTACCGCTACTACTACTACTACTACTACTACTACTACTACTACCACCACCACCGGTACCGCTACCGCTACCGCCACCGCTACTGCTACCGCTACCGCTACGGCCGCTGCTGCTGCTGCTACTGCTACTGCTACTACTACGAGTAGTTACCTCGCCAGGACCAGGACCATCGGCGACTGTACTGTAAGACGAAGGGGCTTGGCAATACCGTAACTGCGGATGTGTCCTGCAAGAAAGATGATGAAGAGACTAGATTTGTCACGCCGATCAGCCTGCTGCCAAACCAATCCACAATGCTAATGCCAGAGAGATCAATGAAGGAAGTGTTCATGCCAGAACATCACTATCAGAAACGTGACGATGCCACCAGTGTCTTCTAAACTCTGTGGCAGATCACGACCTTTCGCCGCCAAGCTCATTTAGCATCGTGCTCCCGGGATCCTGCAAGCTCCGAGGGAGTTGAAACTCGCGAGGTGCTCGCTGCCGCGTGGTTGCAATCCTTGAGCGCTCGCCGGGAGACCCGGCGAGGGAAGCCCGAGTTCAGGGGTCGAGTGAGGGATGATGGGTGTCTAACCCGCCAGGCCGAAGATCTTCAAAGAGATGGTCGCCGTGGTGTCGGCGGGCAAAGACGAAGGCTCGACGTAGGAACACGCAGAGTTGAGGGTCTCGGCAAAAGGAGGCAACCCCTGCGGACCTTCACCGCCCTTCTTGAAAAAAACCTGAGTCAAGCACCGGACGTCTACACGGCGCTAAGTGCCGGAGCCTAAACCTGAAGCCGGTCTTCTCTTTTCGTCCTTCTGTGGCAATGCAAAAGAGGCAGCTCTATGTGGGTTTGCGTTCTGGAGCTTCAGGATTGCAATATCGAAATAGGGAGGGTCTCTGACACTTCAGAGGGGTGCAGAGTTTAGTTTAGCTTTCTGCGGACTTGTGGCTCTTGCCTGGAGAGGGATTTAATGATACTGTGAATTTCCCTCCTTTGCCGCCTGCTTCGAAGATTCGATTATGTCACAGAAACCCGTTTTCCCCAAACTGTTTGGTAACACCATGCCAGCGACGGCAAAGACAAGTGTCTCGTGTTCAATGAGCCCATATGATCCCGAAGCGCGGAACCACGAACGGGACATTCAACTCTGCTACCACAAGGGTCAGCAATTACTCTCAAAGGTTGCTTCTGCGTATGTCATCCCCAGGAACACCGCTAGCGGAGGAGCCACCACTCAAGGTCCACGCCTGGAAGACTTCCGGTGCAGTTGGCCTTCGTTCTTGTCTTCTTAGTGCTACTTAGTTTCTTACAACCATGCGTCAATGTTAGTCCTAGATTTTTGTGATTGACGTCTGTGCCACGGTCACGGCTATTATCCTTCACCATTATCAGTGGCACCACCACCATCATCATCATCACCACCACTACCATCAACATCATCATCACCATCATGTTCATCATGATCATCATGATCATGATCATCCTCATCGGTGGCCGTCGGCAGCACAATCGCAATCACAATAGTTAGCAGCATGAGTATTAGGTACTAGCCTAGCTACGCTGAGTCCTTGCTCCTCACCGGCCGTGATTCTGTTTGCTCTTCGGTTTGTGAGGTTGGCTTACATGTCGTGGGTGTGGAGTTGCATTTCGAGATTTGGTATAAAGGTTCGAGAACTCGCAAGACGAAGCCTCCTGTGAGCTTTGGGGGTAGACAGGGGGACCTAGACCGGCTCAGTAGGACACGGGCTTCGACGTTCGATAGTGTAGAAATCTCGTTGGTGACAGATGACATGAACTGTAACCATAGCCATTCAAGCAATCACACAGCCTGAGACTGAGGATTATCCAGGGCAGACTATGGATACACTACAGGATTTATCCTATCCAACAAGTCTTCTCAGAGTGAGCCCTCAGCCTCAGATATCCTGCTATGCTCTCATGCTCTCTGCCATACACAAACATTCTGCAGCAAATGGCAAGCCTTTTCGGGCGGATGATAAACCCTTGCGAAGCAGACCCAAAAACCCCAACGGAGAGAGCGAAAGCCCAAGCACCGGACTCCTCAGGGCCAGCCCCGCGACCGGCGGCTGCCAGCGTTTTGGCTGACGCACCCCCAAAAGGGCTCACAACAGTCTGACGTGGAGCACGGGCTCCCAGAACATTGCTGAGGGGTGCGAGAGTGATTGGAGCATCAGAGGGTGTATCAGAGGAGTCTACATCCAAAATGTCATCCGAAACGTCATCCAGCGTCCCTTGACCTGATTTTGATCTGATTCTCAAGATCTCACCCTGAACCTCGATGAGTCCCCGGGTTTGGAAACCGCCTAAGCCCAATATGCCTCATGTGTGGCCCTGGATTGTCAAGCTACGCAAGGCCGAATCCGCTACACTGACCCAGAGAAAAGCTTGAACCGCGGCGTTGCCGGGAAGATTCTCTCGATTTGTTTGTCCTGCCTTTCAATTCGGGTATTGGGGAGGATTCTAGCTCTCGTTTCGCTTCTTGGGGCTTGGGGGTTGCCCCAGGACAAAGACTCAAGCTGCGACGATCCGGGAAGAAAGTCGCCGGCAAAAGCGGCGGAAGGCTTTGGAAGCAATGGGGTGGGTATGTACATTGACATGTGTATATGCTCACGCACTTGTGTATATATGTAGTCTGTATGTATTTACGGATGTATGTATGTCTGACGCCTTCAGCCTTGGAGTACTTGGGCAAGGTCTCACGATTGGCCGCTTCAAGGATATCATTCCCCTCCGGGGCCTCCATCGCTTGAGCCCACAGCATCCGAAGGTTTTTCGGACGTACCAACATGAACCAGCCGTGTCCATACGGCTTGATTCGTTTGTCTGCTCTCGGCTTGCCCGAGTGACGAAGCACGTTGCCGCACTTGACGTGCACCTCAGCATGTCCATCGGCCATAATCTCATGCACTGTAGACGGGCGGGGATGAAGGAAGGAAGTGCGCTGAAGATGGTTCTCGTAGGCGCGGAGGCTTGACTCGGATATCTCGTCACCAATGATAATTCCCCACTCCTTGCCGCAAGCTTCTGACTCATGTACTGCGATCCAGTACATGATGCCAGTCTGGTGGTTGACTCGGAACTGGCTGCATTTATCGGAATGCGCAACTCCCAAAATTCTTGGGAGACAGCCTTGACGGCTCTAGTGGCTACAAAGGCACGGAGCTCGAGGAGTGAGTGGTTAGAGATAGAGGCAAAGGTATAGGTATAGGTATAGGTGTAGGTATAGGCAGAGGTATAGGCACAGGTATATGTAAATGTATATGTATGTGTCTGTGTATATGTAGAGTTTTGGTACGGCGCTACAAACATATATACACACATAGATACAGAGACGGATATAGATATCTATATAGATATAGCTTTGGATGTAGATATAGATGTAGATATAGATATATGAGTCTCCAAATCCATTCCGAAGCTTTTGGACGTACTGAACTTGATTTGGCTGCTGGTTTGGGCCAACAGGGTATTGGGACTTTCTTTCAGCCCGGACAGATGGCGAGCGAAGCAGCCGCGGAAGCACGCGCAAAGAGCTGTGACCTTGGTCGAGCAGTGTTTCTGAACACAGCGCCGTAAAAGTTCGTTCAGGTAAAACTAAGGCCAGAAGAGCAATAATACTAGTGGCAGCCGTTGGAGGGAGGAGGAAAATGGCGGCATAGTATAGACGCTGAGACCATTCACTCACGATTTTGATACTCTCTATGCTTCAATGCCTTGACGCCGGCGACTAACACACTTCCTCCTGCTGCTGCTGCTGCTGCTGCTGCTGCCGCTGCTGCTGCTGCTGCTGCTGCTGCTGCTGCTGCTGTTCTTCAATGCTGTTGTTGCAAGCGCGGGTACTCCTCGCGTAAACATCATACCGCGGCTGTTGTCAAGATGGCAGGCCTGTCGCGCTCTGCCCTTGTCGCTGCATTGCAGGAGGCACTGCCGTTGGATTCTGTTCCGTTTATTTTGGATTTCTTGCGGGGCTCCAGGAGTCGCCGACAGCCTGTTGAAGGGTCCCAGGTCCCAGAGGCTCTGGGTCCTTGGTCGTCCCGAGCACCGATCTGATGCAGGCGACCAGCTCTTTGGGCTCTCGACTGCTCAGCTGAGCACTGCGAAGTTTTCACGGCAGCTTTCTTCGTAAATTTTCAGCTGGCGGCGTGAGAACCACGATGTTCAGTCAAGCGTCTTTAGCCCAGGGAGAACACGAGACCTCCAAGTATCCCTGAGGCTCCAACTCTAGACACTGATCCCTTCAACCCACGAGACATCAGCCAGGCCTCCAGCAGCATCCTTTGCGAGCGGCGCTGAGCTCTTTGCGGTATCCCAGTCTGTTTGTTTGAGTGCAAGTTCAGGACAAAACAAGGATGCCAGAGTCGACATGAAGATGCTGCAGGAGTCCCCTTGAAGACCTACAATTATCTAATTAGAGTCCAGAAAAGAGGATTGAGGGCTTGGCAGGGTGCTGCATCGTGTAGGAGATTGGCCAGGTTCCAGGCACCAAGTGCTCCCATCGGACGCAAAACTCGAGAGTTCTGGTTCAGAGCGGATTTCGCAGTTGCGAAGCCAGAGCGTATTTCAACTTCCGAAACCACCACAGTCTGGGCCCAACACCCCATGGGACAACTTCGTCCTGAGGTTCTCCGCTTCCAAGACTGGTGCGAAACCAAGCGCACCTCTGGGCTTTGCGCACGGGATTGGGCTCTAAGGCCAGTGCTCTGGTGGTGTGCGGGTTTCGGATCGCTGGGCTAGTTGTTGTCGGCGAGCCTGAGCGGCTCAAGTGTGAGCAGAACCGGAAGGGTCGGTTTGGTTCATGTTGGTTCGCCGGACTACCACGTGCCACGGAGTCTCGGAACAACGGCCCAGCAACATCACTTCCCAGCATCCGCCCCATCGGAGGCAAAGAGGTAAGAACTGCAACAAGTTGTTTTCAACAAGCAGTTGTGACAAGAGAGGCACTCGTAGCTGCCAGAGTACAAAGGACAAGCATAGCAGCACTGGCAACAGTTTGGTGCACCAAAACCTACAGCCATCAGGCCCAGCGCATCCTTGTCTCCACGTGCTGAACTTGTGGAGGCAATAGCTGAGCTTTGATGTTAGTGAGAACACGACAGTCGTAGCAAGATCGAGTATCACAGAGAGAATACGTGGAAGTCTCGGAAGCCTCTTCAGTAGACATCGAGCCTGCGAGATCCTCGGGCCGACGGGCAGCTTGGAAGCCGAGTTGGCGCCCCAGCCAAGCAGGAAGCTAGCAATACTCTGCTTTATTTCGGATACCCCACAAGCTTTTCGTCATCCTAGTCTACTGACTCAGGATTCCGGAGCTTGAGACGGAACCATGACAGCAAAGTAGGAACTGCGAGAAGCATTGAAGCGGCTGGCAGCTTCAAGCAGAGACTCCCGCGCCTCTCGATCCAACACAAAACGCCCCACAAGCCCCAAGCTTGCAGCTTGAGCAAAGTTCGCAGTTCTCCGGGGGGTGTGGACTCTTGGAGTTGACGATGCAAGAAACCCGCGGAAGCAGGCCTTGGCCTTCAAACAGCTCTTCTTGCCATCCCGTGAGCCCTGCCTGCGCGCCCGACCTCCCAGGGCCCAAGCGCTGCTCAGCTTCTTCGGCCTGGACTGGCGACCCTTTCCGGAGGCTGTGGGGTCGGTTCCTAAAGCCCTAAATCCTAAACCCCAAAGACTCAAAGACTTCGAAAAACGTGGATGAAAACAACAACCCGAGGCCATCTCGAAGCTCGCGACAGAAACCAATGTAGGCCCTGAAACTACCAGCGCCTAACTTTTATTCGGGGGTAGCGCAGTCGGGTGGGTGGGTGGGTGGGTGGGGGGGTGGGTGGGTGGGGGGGTGGGGGGGTGGGGGGGTGGGTGCTGCTGGTGCTGTTGCTTTTGCTGCTGTTGTTGTTGTTGTGGTTGTGGTGGTGGTGGTGGTGGTGGTGGTGGTGGTTGTTTGTGGTGGTGCTGTGCTGTTGCTGGTGCCGGTGCGCTAGCTGCTGCTGGTGTCGGTGTTGGTGCCGGTGATGATGATGATGATGATGACGACGGTGATGACAATGGTCATCAGCATCATCAGCTTATCTCAGCAAAACGCTATGGTTTTTGTTGTTGATGATGATGATGATGACGGTGACACCTTGGCTATGTGGCCTGCAGGTGTTTGCAATCTCGACAGCCTTAGCCCTGAATGCATATTTTTCAACCTCTGCAAGTGAGACAGACATGCATCAGGAGGTGGAGCAGGAGCTGCGCAAACAGTTCCCTTCCGGGCCTGCAGCCCAACAAGAAATGGAGCTTCCTCGTTCGGGGTGTTGATTGTCAGGATGAACATGATGTTTGACCTGGGTGATGAGGGTGATGCCGAGGTGATGTTTTTGTGGTGGAGGAGCAGCTGCTGATGATGATGGTGATCACGACGACGGCGAGGATACTGTGCGTGATGATGTGGATTGTTTTGGTGATGTTGTCACCGGCGTTGGCACTGGTCATTTTTCATTCGAAAATTGAGTGAGTAAATAAATGCACGGTAAGCAGATACACAAGTACAGACACATACATACTATACATGTCCATGTACATAATGTGCACCTACATAGACATACACAAACACATCACATACACATACGTATATATTTAGACACACATACACATACACACACACACACACGCATACAGAAATGTATGCTTTTGCATTTCTCATAATGTAACATACCACCACATATCATAAGACATCATAACATACCACGACATAACATAGCATAGTGCAACATAGCACAACATAACATAGCATAACATAACATGACATGCCATGCCATGACATGACATAACATAACATAAGGTATGTGCAAATGAGCAAATAGATCAGCAGATGAATAAGAGGTCATAAGCACCTAAAGACATAAATGCGTAAACAACTACGTAAACCAGCCACTGTGAGGTGCTAGTTAGGCATGCAAGCTTCGGTGTACATGCGAGATGGTAGCGGTGGCCCGAGTACTTTCTCACGATACGATTCTGTTGCCGGTGCTGCACAGGATCGTGTGTTTCGAAGTTTGCTTGCCGAGCCCTGTGGCAACGCTTGTAAAAGGTCCGACTGCCCGAATCCGACGGAAGCTTTCAACCCCCAGCCCGGTCCGCAAACCGCGGTGCCTTAAGTCAACCCGAAGCTTCAACTGCCATCCGCTGAATCCCGATAACTGTGGAACCCAATGTCATGCCTCAAGTTTCCTCGCCGCGAGGGATGCCGTGGTCGCTGCGGAGCTCGCTGCAGGACGACGGGACCTGCCCGGGCGCCCGGTAATTCCGATACTAAGGTGAGACGAACTGCCGCGAGGTTTCTGGCACTGACTTTGTCGGACAGTTTTGTTTGTTCAACAAGGAGCCGGACTCTCATGACAGGAGGTGTTCCTGAGCTCGTCACTGCCCTGATGCCTGAAGGCGGCGGCTTCGCTGTGCGACCATCGACCCACCTCATGCGAAGGAACTTTCCGTGCTTCACGGCAAGTGGTGAAAGGTGTCCACTGCACTTATTGTGCTCATCTCATGTTCGCACCGCAATTCCACGCTCAATAATTTCGG